AATACGATTTTTGTAAAATACTATTAACCAAGGAACCTTGAGGAATCGTTCAGACGCAAAATTAATAACTTCACCGCAACATCAATATTTTAAAAACTCATTTATGTAATTTTGAAAAGGAAGGATTCTACTACGATTTTTGTGAATTACCGTCAAATAAAAGAAGGCATTGAAACGTGGCTCAGTCGTAAAAACCACTAATTCCAACGAAACATCGAAGTTTTAAAAAGTGAATTTTTATTTGTTTTTTGATTGCAGATTGCTTAGATGGTTTTGACATATGAATTTATTCAATATTCGCAGGTCCCGGACAATTATTTATATCCAATTTTTATAAACTTTACCATTTTTTTAATATTTGCAAATTCTGCAAAATCGCAGTCATTTCGAAATAATATATAAAAACTGATTCCGAATTTTCAAAAAATATGATTTAGCGTACAATTAACAATTTGAATCTTGCAAATTTAATAAAATGAAATAAACGCATACCCTAGATTAAAAGCTTATTTTATTTCATGATGAATTTTACCATTTTTTAACTAGTGTTTTCAAATCCTGCAAAAATTGCAGCCATTTCGGGATAATATTATTTGCATTAAAAAATGAGCGGAGCGGCGCTGAATTCCTGGGAGAAATGGGCCGCGCGGCGTGGTTCTGGAGGCGATGAAAAAGCCGGCACCACGTTGGCCGTAAATGGGATTGTGTCGGAAATTGGCGCCGAGAAGAGGTGCGCGGCGCACAAAAATAAACGATTAAACGGGCCGTAAACTATCCCTCGTGGAACGTGGAAAATGCGCTCGGAAATTGCTCTATAAATTGAGGTATAAATTATGTAATGATTTAATAAATAGGTCTTGGAACGTATCAATATTAAAAAAAATCATATTTATGCATTTCCTAATTTTCTAGACATGTTAGGCATTTTTATCATATTTTTTTTTATAATTAAGAAGATTAAAAGATTTTATGCATTTCAATAGAAAACGAGCGGCATTAAATCCTACAATAAACATCAATATTTTATTTTAGGTAAAACATACATTTTCAACGAGGCGAAAATACTCTCGGAAATTGCTCTATAAATTAAGATACAAATTAAATAGGACTTGGAACGGCCTAATATTATAAAAAATCATATTTAACAATTGCCTAATTTTACTATACATCTTTGGCGATTTTCATTCCATTTTTATTAATTTAATTATGTGTTTTTGTTACTATTTAGCAATTAAAATCAAACGGGTAAGCGGAACAAATTAAATCGGAAAATGGCAATCGATATTTTATTATGGGCAAAACATACATTTTCAAAAACAGGGTGAAATACCCTCGGAAATTGCTCTATAAATTAAGGTATGGTAAGGTAAAAATTTATTATTTCTTTATTCATTTAATTGCATGTTTTGCTAATATTAATGAAACCGTTTTAGGTTTGGAAACCCTAAGAACATGCACAAATTAACTAGAAGAATGACATTCGATATGATATTTTTGACAAAACATACATTTTCCAAGGAGGCTAAAATATCCTTGAAATTCCTCTATAAATTAAGGGACAAATTATCTCGACTAAATTTTATAGTTTGTGAATCTAGTATAGTAAATTTTATAGTAATAATATAAGCTCAATAGAGGCAGCCGAATTGAATCCAAAAATGGCAATCGGGCTAATATTTTTGACAAAACATATATTTCCAAAATCCGGGCAAATATAACAAATTTACAAACCAAGACTGAGAAACAAGGTATTTTTACTCATCTAAATTCATTTATTTAATTTCTCACAGATTTTGTAAAATTCGTTATATTTAAATTGATATAAATGATAGTAATTTAACCTAGGCATGCTTTTTTATGGCTCAAAAATAAGGCTAAAAGCGAACACCTTCAGTGATTGGCACAATTCCCGGCAATGTTTTTTAAAAGGATGCCTGAAACATAACTTTTATTCAATAACATTTTTTCATTAATTTTTATATCAAATAAAAATGAATTAATTACTAAAAAAATAAGTAAAATAGAAATTAACTAAATAAATGAATACATCCCGAAAACACTTGTACTCCGAGTCCATTCATTTCCCCCTGGAAATGTCGCATCATTCCTGTCTGGGGGTATCTAGAAAAAAAAGATTCATGAAATTGGAAAACCCCGGACATTCATTGTTTTATAATCGAGTGAAATTAAATAATTTCTTAAGTTAAAATAAATTATAACGTTTAAACATCATTTTCCTTGAATATTTCGACCCCAAAAATTGTAAATTACGCAGCACTCCTATCAACATTTCTCGAGGATAGGAAATTATCAAAGAAAATAATATAATAAGAAGAAGAAGCCAGCAAAAAATCAGACAAGAAAAAAAGAAACGAACGGATATTAGAATGCCGCGGACTGACCCATATTATTAACCCCAAAAAATGGCCGAAAAAGCGAAAAAGAGACGCGCCGGAAAGCGATAATTATTGGCCACACGCGATTTACGTAGCCCCCGTGCGCATGGCGTTTCCGATTAATTGCGGCATTGAAAAATGTAGAAAATGATGTCTAGAGCGGGCAGGCTAGCAGAGAGTGTTTGGGAAAACCAAAACACTAGGCAGAACAGAGATCATTTCGGGAAATTTGAAAAAACAGGGAATATTTAATGTTTCATGAATAAACGCTAAAAATTGGCCGGTCGAATGGATAATTCTTCGTTCGTATCGTTTTTGATTAATTGCTGAATTGAAAAAAGGTAGAAAATGATGTATTAAGCGGGCAGGCTATCAGAGAGTATTTGGGAAAAATCAAAGTCTTCGGTCCTGAAAAAAAGGTGTTTCATACACCACAATTAAAAAAAAACGTGCTTCAACGGCTAATCGATCCACATTTTCAATCAATTTGGGCATTGAAAAATGTAGAAGATGATGTAGAGAGCGGGCATGCTAGCAGAGAGTATTTGAGAAAGATCAAGGCCCATGAAAAAAATTATGTTTCAGAAAAAATGCAGAAAAAAACCGCTTCGATGGTTAATTAATCGTGGCGGGTATTTCCGAAAAATTTCTCCGCTCGTGGTGTAAAAGCTTTCCGTTTTTTTTCCTATTAATTGACGCATTGAAGAAAAACAAAAAAAAATCATAGCTAGAGGGCAAGCTTGCAGAGATTATCGGCGAGCAGTTTAATATTTTCTGCGCTTTTGATGTTTCATGAAAAAGGGCTAAAAGATATCCGGTTGAACCGATAATTTTTGGCCACGAACCATTGGTGATTTACGTAGCTTTCCGTATCGATTTTGGCTTAATTGGGGGCATTGAAAAATATAGAAAATTATGTCTAGAGGGCAGGCTAGCACAGATTATTTCGGAGAATTGAAAATTTGTACGTTTCGATGCTTCATGATAAAAGGATAAAAAAGCCGGGCAGATTGTGCAATTTTGCACTTATCGCTTTCATTCTATGTGTAATGAAATGGTGCATTTAAAAATATGGAAACATGATGTCTAGAGGGCAGACTAGCGGTGATAATTTGGGAAATGGAGATGGAAACAGGCCTAAAAATCTGATGTTTTACCGAAAAACCAGTAAAGCATAACTAGCTGAACCCATAATCCGTCATACCATGTAGCATAAAATGAAGATATTTCCCGGGCGGGCTAGCATAGGTCATTTGGGAAATTGGAAAAGCTATGCGAAAAATGTGATGTTTCTCTAACAAAATAGCAAGGAGAACCTTTCGAAAACACAATGGCTTGTCGAGTTGCAACGCATTTGCTAAAAAACGTTCTAAATTTTTGATTTTTATCAAAATAAATGGAATATAAAAAATGATAATTTCGATCGTCGTGGCATTGCAAATTATAGTTCATTCAATTATGTGCGTTTGAGCGGGCAGCCTAGCAGAGATCGTTTAGGAAACGGTCTGAAAAAATATTTAAAAATTTTGATCTTTCATGAAAATATCATCCAAAATAGCCTGGCTGAGGCCGTAATTTTTGCACGACGGGAAACTTGCTGCGAATTCGCCATAACTTCCTACCAATTAATAATGGTATTAAATGATTAAACCTATTTTTAAATTTTTTACTTTATAAAATTTATAAATTTCTAGGATATTCAAAATTTATAAATTTTTAGATATAGAAAATTTTAACTTTTAAAAAACGGCAGGATGATAGGAATTCAGCCCAGGGGTGCAGCGTCAGCGCAAGAAATCCGTGAAACATTCAAAAAAATCAGAATTTTTAGATTGAAATTTGAAAAGATTCAGAAGATCCTTTCCCGTACTGTAGTTACGTTTTAAAAATATATTTTGTTATTATTTTTCTCGGAAAGATTAAAATTTTTGCCCTTTGTGTATTACGGTGACGCGTTTTCAGCGGCCTGAAGCAGCGAGAGAAAAACAAAAGTTTCAGACCCGGATTGGCATGTCTGCATTGAAAGAAAAGTAATTTGCAGTGTCCTGCGATTCCAAGTCTCTAACGTCATGCTCCCTTTGAAAAAAAAAACTATACAAAATAAAAATTAATTGCTGAAAACATGAAGATATACTTTTAACGGCTTTTTCACGTCCCGAAATTAAGCCATCCACTCGATTGAGCCTTATTTTTACCAATGATCCCGGGAATTATCCACGGATAATTCCGGAATTTCTCTTTCTCACTCTCGCTCTCTCTCTCCCTCTCTCTCCCTCTCTCTCTCTCCCTCTATCCCTTCCACGGCCGGATTTTCTTCAGATTATTGGTCAGAAAAACCAACACTCTCCCCTCGCTCAGCCCAAATGATCTCTGCTAGTTCACCCGGCTCTTTCAGCATTTGTCAGCTCGCAAAAAAAAGAAACTGCAAGATCACCGGGTACTTTACACAGCTGTAGATGAACAGGGAGCCGAGATACGGTCGGCGGGGAGTCGGTTTGGGGGGGTAAACTGCACTTAAGCCGTTTCTAGATTTGCATACAACTCGGGAATTCTAGATTTGAGGCAGTAAAACTCGTGTCAGTGGCATTTTCTACCTCTACCTTGATGAAGTCCCGCCTGGCTTCGCCCCTATTTTTGTACCTCCTTCAAGTCGTCGTCCGGTGCGCCGTCGGTGAATCGGTGGGAGGGCAATCTAGGCAATTTGTGGCGCTTTTCTTTTAGCGGGGGTGAATAGTTTTTTTCATTTTTTCAATTTAAAAAATTCAAAAATATTTTTTTAGACTGGCGCCCCGACCACCTCGGAGTCGATGGACGCGACGACGGCGATGCTCGTGGGGATCGGAATTGGCGGGGTGGCCGTGCTCGTACTCGTGCTCATCTTTGTCGTCGCATTCTGCATCTGGATCCGGAAGAAGCGGAAGGGTTGGTCTCTCTCTCTCTCTCCCGCTCTCTCTCTCTCTCTCTCTCTCTCTCTCTCTTCCCGCAATTCCTCAAAGAACCTCTGCTAGCCTACCCATTTCCAGCCCGTCTAGCTGGCCGTGCCGACTCGAACAGCAACTCGAAGGGCATCTCCCCGGGCGTCGAGGCGAAGAAGTTCGGCCCCGGCGAGCAGAAACTCGACGCCGTTGAGGCCGAGCCGACCGTCGACATGTAGATCACCACCGGCCGGCGATCCCCAACAGCGACAAGACATAAACAAGATCAGACATTTTACATTCTATCCCATTCCATGCCATTTTTTAAACCGTTCATGACTGTCGAATAAAGACGCTTGTGTGAAACTGGAAAAAGTATCAAGGCACCGAACTCGATGGAGACGTCGGCAACGTGCGCAAGGAGTACAAAAATGTGTTCGAAAGGTGGTTCGAAAATATCTAGAAAATTTCGTAAGCCTAAGCCTAAGCCTAAGCCTAAGCCTAAGCCTAAGCCTAAGCCTAAGCCCAAGCTAAGCCTAAGCCTAAGCCTAAGCCTAAGCCTAAGCCCAAGCCTAAGCCTAAGCCTAAGCCTAAGCCTAAGCCTAAGCCTAAGCCTAAGCCTAAGCCTAAGCCCAAGCTAACAAGGAGATGGTCTCAGCTGGGAATCGAATTCGGATTTGAAAATTTGCACACTTATAGAGCTCGACGAGACAAATCGATTGGTGCAACTTTCAGCTGCTGATACAATAACCACGCCGAGTTATAAGCATTTTAAGTTTTTGCATACATTTTGCAATATTTCCGCCGTAGCTTCATAGGCCTTCCCCGCCTCCCCCATCACCGTGGTCTGGTGGCCTAGTGGTGTAGTAGGCGGGCTCCGGGGAATCTAACGAGGGTTCGAACCCGCTCACGATTTTTATTTTTTGCTTTTTCGTCCGAAGGTTCCTCTTTGCTTTCTGAAGGCCTTGAATAGCTTTTTACGCATTATTTTAAATCCTCTGGTGAGAAATGGCTAAAAAAATCTCTTTGAAAAAAATTAGATTTTTTACCCGAAAGGACTATGCAGATCCCAAAATAAATTGAAAATTCAAAGTATATGAAAAATCGAGGAGTAAACGTAATTTATTGTAAATGGTGCGTTATCCGAACAAAAATTTTCATAAGCGAAAATTTTTTTGGGAATGATAGTCATAGGTTGTTGGACAAGGGCTCCATGCCCAGTAAGAAAAATTTTTTACGGTGAAGTTATGATGTCTGCGCATCAGATGAGTTAAAATAATGCGTAAAAAGCTATTCAAGGCCTTCAGAAAGCAAAGACGAACCTTCGGACGAAAAAGCAAAAAATAAAAATCGTGAGCGGGTTCGAACCCTCGTTAGATTCCCCGGAGCCCGCCTACTACACCACTAGGCCACCAGACCACGGTGATGGGGGAGGCGGGGAAGGCCTATGAAGCTACGGCGAAAATATTGCAAAATGTATGCAAAAACTGAAAATGCTTATAACTCGGCGTGGTTATTGTATCAGCAGCTGAAAGTTGCACCAATCGATTTGTCTCGTCGAGCTCTATAAGTGTGCAAATTTTCAAATCCGAATTCGATTCCCAGCTGAGACCATCTCCTTGTAAGCCCAAGCTAAGCCCAAGCCTAATCCAAGCCTAAGCCTAAGCGCCAGCCAAGCCTAAGCCTAAGCCTAAGCCTAAGCCCAAGCCAAGCCTAAGCCTAAGCCTAAGCCTAAGCCTAAGCCCAAGCCAAGCCTAAGCCTAAGCCAAGCCTAAGCCAAGCCTAAGCCAAGCCTAAGTCTAAGCCTAAGCCAAGCCTAAGCCAAGCCTAAGCCTAAGCCTAAGTCTAAGCCAAGCCGAAGCCAAGCCCAAGCCTGAGCCTAGCCTAAGCCTAAGTCTAAGCCAAGCCTAAGCCGAGCCAAGCCTAAGCCAAGCCTAAGCCAAGCCTAGTCAATTCCTAGTTATCATGGGACCGTCATTTGCATCAATTCCACCCTGAAATAAACTCGTCCAAAAAAGCAAAAAAATCATCGCCAACCAACCCGAACATGGCGCGTCTGCTGCTCTTCCTCCTTCTCCTCCATCTCTTCGTCGACCTCGGAGATTCTGCCAACAACGTAAGGATTTCGTGTGTTTTTCTCTGGATTCTCGGCTTCGCTTCATTCCTCAAAGAATCCGTGCTAGCCTGCCCAATCTCTCCGCTCAGTTCCCCAGAGAATCGCTGCAATTCCCCCCCCCCCCGCTACGAGTGCAGTCCTCCTTGCAGGTGACGTGCGCGTTCAACACGCCGCGGTTCTACGACCCGGCCACCGGCTGCTACCCGGGCCCCGCCAAGAATTCCGAAATTTCAACTACCATCGTCTTTTGGGAGGATTGGCCCGGTTATACAGTGTATTACGGTAATGGTTTGGGTACTGTACTCTTAGCGGGGGTTTTCGCATTATCGGGGGGACGAACTTTAACTCCAATTTTTGAAATATAAATAGGGGAAGGGTTTCTAATGGGTTTTTACTATTCCTAAGCGTGAAATTCCTTTCTTGCGGGTTATGTGCAGTTTACCCCCCCCCCTCACCTACCGTATCTCGGCTCCCCGTTCACCTACAGGTGTGTAAAGTATACCAAAATGTTCGTCTTGCTCTGGCGAGTATTTTGGTATACTTTACACACCTGTAGATGTACAGGGAGCCGAGATACCAAGGTCGGGGGCCGGCGGGGGGGTTGAACTGCACTCTAACCGTGCGCGATGACGCTCGAGCGAAAATGATTTTCCAGTGTGCCCCACGGCGGGCCACAAAATCTGCTACTCACCCGGGCGAGGCTGCTACGCAACGGCAAATGTCGGGACACATTGCAATTGCGAGGGCGTGGGCGTGGCATCCGCAATAAGTAAGTAATAAGGTCGTAACATATAACAAATAGGCTAAGAGTTGGGTCTCCCCGCTAACAGTCCGGAACCGATACCATCACCTAAATCCTCAAATTTCAGTGTCACCCGAATACTACGACAGGTGGGAAGCGTCTTTTAAAGGGCGATGCAGCGCATGGGAGACGCGGAGAGAGGACGTGGACATCGAATCGATGCTAAAGATTCGCCCTCCGGTCAGTGGCAAAAATGGGATCAGGGACGTAGCGTAATACAGGCCCCGGGGGCCCGGGCCCCCGCCGAAGCCCGAAAATTTCATAAGGGGGGACCCTTATGATTTTTATTTTCTCAAAAATTTTGCCGCCTGTGGCGCTATTTTTTTTCACGTTTTTATGGCTGTTTGTAGAGCTATGCAATCTTTTTGTCAAAAAATTATGCCTGCGGCGCTGTTTTTTCGTCAATGTTTTGAGTTTTTTGGGCCCCCCCCCCTCCGAAATTTTTTTATGGCTACGCCCCTGAATGGGATAATCCAGAGATTTCCCCATTTTCAAACATTTTGCCAAATTCCATGAGCGCCATTTGATAAAGCGTCGAAAATTACACTAGCGGGGTTGATTCTCCTTCAAAATAATGCAAAATAGAATAAAGAGAGCCCAAAAAATCTCATCGGCTTCAGTACACACCTCCCCCCCCCGCCCCAGCCCGCGTCCGACTTTTCCATCTCGGCTCCCCGTCCTCCTACCGGGTAGTAAAGTATACTAAAATACTCGCCAGAGCAAGACGAACATTTTGGTATACTTTACACACCTGTAGATGAACAGGGAGCCGAGATACAAAAGTTGGGGGCCTGGGGGGCAGGGGGCGCGGGCGGGGGGGGACGCAACCGGAATATCCTACTATATATAAAAAATAGTGTCTGTGTGTGTATATTTGCATGCAACTTCCGTAAGTATGTACCGCAGCTACAGCCTCAGGGGAAGGTTTTTAAGATACGTATGATACGACATTACGTGCGTAATGGTCCCGAGATGGGTGCACACATATAAAATTCAAGAAAACCGGCTGTTTTCGCTATTAAAATTAAGTTTTTGTAAATATATCGAAAAACCTCTTTGTTAGGAGGCAATTAGCATTGACCGGAAGTGGCCGTAGCTTATAAAAATGGAGGGAGCGTGCGCTTTTCATTTTTTTGGTGAGCGGCATTCGGCAAGCCCTATGTAAAGCCAAATTTTCAGAAATCCTAGACGGGTCCAGGGTTGAAAAGCCGCGAAGCGGTTTTTCAACCCTGGTACCATTTCTAAGATGGTCTACTGTGACGTGTCGGGGCCACCGTACGATCCGAAGGGCAGAACGTGCAAAAGGTCCGTCACATATTCTGGGATGTGGCCGAGCATCGCCTTCCGCGAGGACATCACACATCCTGACAACACCATGGTCATGGTCACCTACGGTCGGTCGATAAGGGCTTGGCCGAATCTCGGTCCCCGGTTTGTCCTGCAGGGATGCAAAGTACACTCAAATACTCGCCAAGTTATGATGAACATTTTGGTGCATTGTACGCCGTACGAATAGGAGGGCTAGGCGCCGCGCCAGATGCCCGCCGCGTCGCCCTAACGTATCTCGACAACTCTTTATCGTACCGGGGTGAAATGTATACCAAAATACTCGTCAGAGCAAGACGAACATTTTGGTGTCTCTTACACTCCTGGACGATAAGGGAGAGCCGAGATACAGACGATAGTTTGCAGCCGGCCGGCGCGGGGCCTCGCCCACCCACCATATCAATGTTCAGTGTGCGAAAGGGGATTTTTCTGCTCCGAGGGCGCGAACGGTGACCAACCCTGGCCAACAGCAACGCTGGGACCGCTCGGCGACAAAATGGGCTGCTGGTTCGAAGCGAGTAAACCCACGTCCTACTCGTCGGGAATCTGCGGTAAGTTGCGTTCCAGCTTTTTCGTTTCTCTTTTTTCACTCCGTTTTTGTCGTTTTCAGAGGCTCTATCCGCTCAGCCCAGCCTCGCCTATAAAGTGAGTATCGTGGATGGTTGAGCACCTTTTCCATTGCAGGTCTCCCCCTCGCTGAAGCGCCTCATCGATTCTCGCGACGGTCGCCTCGGCTATGGTGTGCTCTTCCCGCGCGCACCCGCCGACTTCACCCTCTTCAAGCCGTTCCACTATGTAAGGTGTTTGGGTCTAAAAACTACGTCTGATCATCTCCAGGACGTGGCATGTGATGTGGCCCATCGCCCGTGGCACCCGGACCATGGATGCGTCGAGTTGAAGCGTCAACTGGCGCCGTTACCCCCAGAGATCGACGGCCGACGGGACGACACGGGCGACTGGGGCATCGCCTTCTACGAGAATGTCCTCAGCAAGGACGGGTACAGCTGGGCCCATGTTGTCTACGGTGAGTTTTCCGGCGCTGCGACGAGGCTTCTTCTACTTTTAGCCTGTGCCGCATCGAGTGCCCCACCCGACTACGTGTCCTTCTGCGATGGGAAGGTCGGGATGCGAGCTGTTGAAGCTGGGTGCTTCACCAGGGGCTGGAGGCCCAGCGCCGCGAAGTCGGCTGACTGCGGTGGGCACTGAGGACTTTCGGCTTTTTGGGTGGCCGACAGAGGCACGTGCGATATTTTGTGCATGTGGCGAGTGGGGAGAAAGAAAGGTTTTTTCCGAGTTTAGAAAAGTTGTGGCCATTCTTTAGCGAAAACTAGTGGTGGAAAACCTTGCCCGGATCACCGGAATTGGCAACGTCGGGGGACGATCATTACTTCTAAAAATCATTACTTATAAGAACGTTACCTCTGAAAGTGACAACACACCAGATAACCCTTTTGCATCTCGGCTCCCTGTTCATCTACAGGTGTGTAAAGTATACCAAAATACTCGCCAGAGCAAGACGAACATTTTGGTATACTTTACACACCTGTAGATGAACACGGAGCCGAGAGACAACAATGTTGAAAAAGCAGCCCTAAGAGTTTGCACATCGGATTATCAGTTTTTCGGCACGTTTGGCCATATTTATGCCCAAATCGACGCTTAGAATTTTGGAAGTAATGACTTTTAGAGGCTCTAGGTGTTGATGTATTTCACTTGATCCCATTGCAGCGGACCAGACGAATGTTTCGGCGAGTACACTCGGCGATTGGCCCCGGAAGGCAGCTGTATTGTCTGTCGCTATCGGTCGACCCATGCTGCAGCTACTCGAGGCTTACGACAAGGATGTAGGGTGCTTTGATGCTGTCACAATCAGTTCAGGGCACCTTGACACTGGGTTATGGGCGTGTCTTCACCCGGTCCAAGGAGTTTCAGTATCCGGTGGGTTGACGGACATGGGTGAGACTCCAGATAACCCCCCCCCCCGCCCCAACTTTTGTATCTCGGCTCCCCTGTGCATCTACAGGTGTGTAAACCATACCAAAATGTTCGTCTTGCTCTGGCGTATATTTTGGTATACTTTACACACCTGTAGATGAATAGGGAGCCGAGATACGGTACGTGGGGGTCGGCTGAGGGGATCTGGAGTTCAGCCGCGACATGTGTGATGGTTTTGGATCCGCTCCTCGAGCTTTTGTGCCCTGGCTCTCCGTTTGCCTACAGGGGTCTAAAGTCGACCAAAATACTCGCAAGATCACGACGATCGTTTTGGTATAGTTCACAACCATGTAGGCCAACGGCGAGCCGAGATACAAAAGTTTTGGATGTGGTCCAGCCCCCTCCGACCCCCGCCTATTGTATCTCGGCTCCCTGTTCATCTACAGGTGTGTAAAGCATACCAAAATGTTCGTCTCGGTCTCGCGAGTATTTTGGTATACTTTACACGCCTGTAGATGAACAGGGAGCCGAGATAGAACAGTCGGGGGCCGGTGGGCGGGTGACCTTACCCCCTTGAAGTCACCGCAACGACCTCAAACAGCACTAGCTGGTCCTCGTTTAGGAAGACTGGCTCACGACGACCACCACCACGACGACTACGACAACGACAACGACTACCACGACAACTACGACGACCACCACGACAACTACGACAACAACCACCACTACCACGACCACCACCACGACGAAAACGTTGCCGGCTTTTGGGCCTGAAGAACAGTCAGTTCGCACCCCTTCGCTTATCCCTCAATCGTTCAGAGCTAGCTACTGGCAAAAGATGTGGGTGGCGAGCGTCGTCAGCCTGGTCGTCGGCTTTCTCGTCGGTGTCGGCATCGGCATATTGCTGCGGGCTGAGGATGGTCAGGGATTTTTTGTCAAACGCACTTGCCATCTCTCTCTCTCTCTCTCTCTCTCTCTCTCTCTCTCTCTCTCTCTCTCTCGCTCTCGCTTTCTCCCTTTCTCGATCACCCACCCCTAATCATCCATTCTTTCAGAAGGCGACCTGGAGAGCGAGATGGAGCATCTGGCAAGCCAAGATTCCGCCTCAACCGGCACCCCGAAGCCTCCGACCAAGTGACACCAATCAAAAAAGCATCTCCTTTTCCACAATAACGATATTTGTATTCTCGGTTTTGAATCAGCTGCTGAATGTATACAAGTCGTGCTACAATAAATATGCACTCAGCCTGTGTTTTACAATTTTCATAGAGCTTGTTGTTGGTTTTGCGTAGAAGGTATTGTTCGTTATCAAGGTATCCCCCGGATCTGTCCCCACTTCGACTACGCGACGCGCCAATACACGCTGTGATAATGTGCATCTGCCACAACCCCAAAAATTTTCGGCGGCCTGCCTCGAGGTTTCCGAAATCAATTTGGCTCATTTTTGCTTCGAAAAAACTTGTTATTTTCATTTCTTTTTGTTTTGTACTTTAGAAGATGGGCTTTTCGTTTAGTAAGATTTAGACGATAATGCGACCTTGACGACGTTGAATAGTTGTCAATAAAAAATTACGTAACTCTTCAAAGTTAGCTTTAGTTAAGAAAACGAATTGAGTTTCTTTCTTAGCCATGCTTGGTGATAATGCTTCTATAGCTCTCGATAATCGCTCGGGTTGTTGCTTTTACTTTTCTTTCCTATGTCATGCCGTCTTTGAAGCCCGACTAATTCTGTGCTTCGTGAGCTGATTGTGCCGATTTCTAACTGCTAGCTTTTCGAAAACTAGCTTATTTTGGTTGCTAAAATCCGTTTCTTTTTTTTTCTTGCTTTCCATTTTTGCGTCTAGCCTTGCTAACTTCTCATTCCAGGGTTACCTCAACAAACATGGACATGGATATGGACATGGACAGCGACGATGGCGGCGCTTCACAAGGTAAATTAAAGTTATTTTTAGTAAATTATTCTTGTTTTAGTGACGCCGCCAGAAGTACGACCAGCCCCCGGCACCCCAGCTCGATTCCGCTGGGATTTTCTGAAGTTCGCCTCCTGCGACGGCGCCTACCGATGGTTTGACTACAATGAGGAGGTGAACTAGTTTCTGCTGCTTTGATTATGTTTTTTTTAGAAGAACATCTTCGCGCAGGAACTGGCTCACGGCAAATGGTATCGCAGGGATGTGGCGACGAACGAGTTCAAGGATTTCGATTGGAAAACACAAGGAGCTGGCCAGGTCAACGATCCGGTTCGTTTTTGATGGTTGGCGCTGAGTACTTGTGTATTTTCGTATCCGAGTTTTTTTCTAAAGTAGCCTTAACTATTTTTTTGAAAATTTTTTAAAGTTTGCAGGGAGTTTTTTATGATTTTAGAACGAAAAAACCATTTTCAAAGCAAAATGACCGAAATACCGACTTTTTCGTGGATTTTGCTAACTTTTCTGAGAGTTTTCGCTTCAAATCACGCGTAATTTTATGAAAAACAACACAAAACTAGTAAAAATCAATAAATATAAATTATTTATCCATTTTTCAGTCTGCCCAACAGCCCCGTCGTGCCAAGGAACGCGAGGACACCGTCGTTTACGTGAAAAGTAATTTTGCGGGCCTCCCGACCATTATAAAATCTCCAATTTTTGGCTGATCCCACGAATATAATGCGGTAAGGGCAGGTAAGCCACCTCGGGGGTTGGCCTTGGCTTTCCCCTTGGAAGGAGGGAAAGCAATATCGCTGTGCCGGCTGCGCCTCGCTTAGAAAAGCCGGGTAACAAGGAAATGGTTGGCCGCCGGTTCCCGTTGACCTGATAGTCCATGTTTAAGGTGTTTCGCGCTTGCCGCTCTATCCGCACTATCCAAACGAGCCCCGAGAATGTGTACCAACCACACTCACTGACTCTAGTCCGGTTTTTCCCCGGTTTTCGGCTCTAAAACAGTGATTTTGTTTAGTGGACTCGACGGTCCCGGTGACGCGCGACTCCTACCAGCAGCCCGTGTACGCCTACAACCAGAAGGGCCAGCAGCTCGTGCCCAGAAAGCACAATGGGGAGCCGGTAAATTTTTTGTTTCTAGGCTTTTCGAAATTTTTAATTTTTTAGGGTTAGGTTCTCTAAATATCTATAGAAACGTGATGACAGCTATTTTGATAGTTTTTACGCGAATATCGGCCATATTTCAGCGGCAAAACTATTTAAAAAGTTTCAAAACCAAAAATTTAGTTTTATTGCTCGAAAAAATTGAAGTTTTTATATTTTCAATGGCTTTTCTAGAATGTTGATGTTTAGGAATAGTAAATACGGTTTAGAAACCTTATTATTATCGAAAGTTGGTTCTAAAGGATAAATTCGAAGCCTCGAAAAACTTTACCTAAACGCTTTTTTTAGTATTTCCCGTGCGACGAGAATCGGCTTCCGCTTTTCCCGGTCAACCTCGAGACGAAGCAGCAGGATTTCCTGTACACCGAAGACGGCATTCCCGTCGTGCCGCTCACCGACCACGGCCACGCCATCGTGCCGCTAGATTTGTACGGTGCGTTGATTTCTGCAATTTTTTTTGGAAATCGCGTTTTTCTAGGTCTTCCCCACTTCCCGCTCGACCCCTCCGGCTCTATCATATGGCCGGTAGACGAGGAAGGGAAGCCGTACCCGCCGGTGAATTATCAAGGAGTGCCCTGCGTGCGATACGATGAACAAGGTAAAGTTTGGAAAAATGATTTCAGAGAATGATTATTTCGCTTTTAGTTTTTTAAAAATTTCCTTTTTGTGCTGGAAAAGCCTGTTAATTTTTATAGCAGCTGTGTACGCTTATTTATAAGTATAAAAATTGGCGAAAGATGAGCCGAAATCCATGAAAAATAATCAGAAATTTGCGAAAACTTCAAGTTTACTCTTTTTTTCTGAATTCGTTTTGAAGTTTTTCTAAATTTACTTTCTAGATCATTCTAAAACGCTTCTAGGTTTTTGTAAACGTATACAAGTGTTCTAAGTTTACTTTCTAAACTTTTCTGAGCGCATTTTTAGCAAAAATCATCGCCATGTTTTTCAGGCCTCCCCATCGTCCCGTTCAACGACGACTTCACGCAGCAGCTCATCATGTTCGACATGAACGGCACCCCGGTGAAGCTCTCCGACTTCAAGAAGCTGTACACCAAGGAGCAGGCTGATACGTAAGTTGTAAATTTCGTTCAAATTCTCCTTTTTTAGATGGGGCGGCGGTCGTCTCCCTCCCCAGCTCTTCATGCCGGCCGTCGACGAAGCGCAACAAGCCGAAATGATGCACCACGAGACGCCCGATTTCAAACTGCCGGTACGCTTTTTAGAAAATTCCATTTAATTTGCCTTTTCAGGAAATGACGCCCGAGCTGGCGGCCGCCCTGGCGCATCACGGCAACCGGCGGATTGCCGGCAAATTCCACCTGGAATACGGGTTCGTCCACCGCCAATGGGGCGAGGAGGTCGAGCGCAAGCGCCAGGAGCAAGAGCGCATCTGGATGGAGGAGCAGCAGCGGTTGTTCAAGGAAAAGCAGGAGGAGGAGAACCGGAAGAAACGACTCGCCAGCGTTCTTCAGGTTTGTCGAGTTTGCAAACTTTATAAAATTGTTAAAGCAGTAGAAAATTCGTTTTTGATATTTAACTTTATAGATTAAGGGAACAGCGAAAAAAATAGATTTATTGAATACCAGCGCCCAAAACCCGCTTCGCGGGCCTTGGGCGCTGGAATTGTGCCTTTGCATGGAAAATTTGACTTTCCGATAGCTCGGGTCCTTCGGACCCCTTCCCCCCCGCCACACGCGGGGCAATGCAGAATGAGGAAATTTGTATTTTTTTCACATCATGCAAATTACCCCCAAAAATGAATAAAACCGGCTTTACTTTGTAACTTGTATTTTATCGAAATTCTGAAAGCGCCATCGGAAAGAGGAGGGTCGATTCCCCCAAGTGACAAAAAATCGGCGCATTTTGGAAACGGGAAGACCCTCAAATCGGGCCTCGAAAGTGACATCCACACACACACACACACACAGAGATACACTCCAAAATTATATAAGGTAGGATAATTCTTTTAGATTAAAATAATGGTCATTAAACTTTTTTGCGATTAATAATATGTTAGTTAAAAAGTTAAATTTTGTAAATCATAAGCGTTTTAATCTTTAACCAGGGTTGAAAAGCCGCTTCGCGACTTTTCAACCCTGGTCCCGTGTGGGCCTATGAAATCCTTGAATTTGCATGATTCGCCTGAGTTGTGCTGAAAAATAAAGAAAATCGCTCGCTCTCCTTACTTATATAAACTATTGCCACTTCCGGCGCATGTTAATTTTTTCCTAACAAATAGAGATCCCTATTTTACTAACAAAAACCCGATTTTAATATCGAAAATGCATGATTTTCTAAAATTTTATGTGTGTGCAGTTATCTTGAGACTATTGCGCACCTAGCGACATATCAAAAATGCCATTAACTTCTTCCCCTGTCGAGATATCCTCCGGACAACCTGACGGAAGTTGCATGCAAATGCACACACACAGACACTATTTTTTTATATATAGTAGGATTTTCAGGCAAGCCGAGCCAAGGATCCCGAAGCGGTTGCGCTAAAGCTGAAGGGGGCCAACGAGACGGCCCAGGAGCTGAAGGCCAACATCCTGGCGAAGAGGGCCCGGCTGAAGGAGGAGGCAGAGAAAAAGAGTAATTTTTAAGGGTCTTTGTGTGGTTTTAGGTCCATTAGTTTTTATTAATCAGAAAAAGGCCATTTTCGTGATATTCTAAACTCTTTTTCAGAGGAAGACGCCGAGAAGGAGGTGCTCGCCTATTTCGACGACGAGGGCAGGGGCGTTGAAAGGTATGGAAAAAGCTTTTTAAAACTTATTTTGGCATTTTTAGAGTGGCCGGCCCGGAAGAAGCCTACCGCGCCAGCATCAAGGAACGACGCGAAAAGCTGCGCGGCTACAATCGACGACGCTTCGAGCGGGAGGACCGGGACAAGGGCCGTGAAGGAGGAGGAGAGGGAGATCGAGATCGAGAACGCTCGAGAGACCGATCCAGGGAACGATCGAGGGAGAGGTCGAAGGATCGAGAACGGCCGCGGGACAGGGATCGCTCAAGGGAGAAGGTACTTTTTAAATTTTAGCATTTCGAAACGTTTTGGAGTTTCGAGAAACGTTTTACCGAGAAAAATGTTACATTTTAGCGCAAACTTGCCTAGGAATAAGAGATACGATATTTTAGGAGAATTTTTGGTGTTTTCTGGTCAATTCAAAAACATAAAAACGTTTAAATGTTTGAAAGCTGAATTTTTGACCGGTTTTGCTCATTTTCATACTTTTTCGAGCAGGATCAGCGCTTTTTAAACGTTTGTAATAGCATCACAGTTTCTGGATACTAAATACAATTTTAAACATTTTTAATTATAGATAAAAGTAGGATAAATTTAATTTATTTTCTTTATGACGCCGACGCAAAAAACTTTTAGTTTCGTTTTCGTATCCGAATTTTCAGCGTGACGACGGTCGACGTGGCGGTCGCGACTACGTGGGCGGCGAGCGACGCGGACGTGAACGGTATTCAAGCGCAAGTGACGCGGAACGGGATCGGAAGAAGCGGTTGTCGAAGCGGCGTGAAGATTCCCCGCGTGACTCAAGCGACGACGAACGCGCCCACCGCAAGCGCAAAAAGGAGAAGAAGGAGAAGCGCGAGAAGAAGCACAAACGCCACCGTTCGCCCTCGTCGTCACGATCTCGTTCAAGATCTTAGAAAAATCTAATTTCCCCCATTTTCCCATTAAAGTTGTGTTTCCACGGGTATTTACTGTACTCTACTCATTATTGTAATTCCTCTAATTACGCTAATTCGATTATTGCGTATTTCTGATTTCTTGGTTCCCCGGTAATTAAATAAACAAATAAAGCCTACTAAAAAACGAGCCCTAGACTCGCCGTCTATTCCAGACACAACAAACAACAAAACAAGCGGAAGTAAACTAACGCGCGCAAAATGGGAGATTTGACAACAAAAAAAACAAACAAACAAACGATCAAACAATGAAACAACGAAAGTGAAAGAGAGAGCAAGGAAAACAATTCAACAATTGATCGGCTTGAAGATGTTGAAGTCGAACGCGGTGGAGATGGCGACACCCGGGCACTGGGGGTGCCAATGGACCTCTTTGACCTGAAAAAAGTACGAATTAACGGAAAACTAAATCCATAGATACTTTTAAAGCTTTTTAAACGACAAAAACAAAATTAAAATAAAACTAATTAAAAACTTTGGCGCTTTTTATGAAGAACCAGTTTTGCAACTAAAAATAGAAAACTAAAATAGTGCTTAACCTGTTTTTACTAGTCCTAAACGTAAAAAATTTACAAATTTTGATTACAAGTACAAAAAATCTCGGTTTCGCGCAAAATTGGCGGATTTTCAACAAATTGCCCCCTAACATTTTTTCGTTAAGTTCTTTGGGCCCATTTTTCTACTTTATAGCTGAATTTTAGTTGCTTTCCCACCCCCGCTAACGCGAAAGAACCCAAAGCGCTACCGAAAGTCGTGTAAGGTACCTCCGATTGTCCGCAGTGTAGGAAGAGCAGCTGCGAGGGCACGCCGTCAATCTCGTCGGCGGCGGAGTCGGCCTGGAAAAAAAGAATCTTTCAATTTTACAGAACCTTTTCGAATTGAATCAACTTCTTAATCATGTCGATTTCATGATGCGTCAAAAAAATTGGAAAATCAAACTCCGCCACTAGCTAGAATTTTAGCGATAACGAAACCACGCTCTAGATGCCGTAGAAAAATACAAAATCATCAGTAAATGGCTAATTTCAAACTGCTCACCTCCATGGCGACATCCCAAATGGAGACCTGGTCGTCTTCCGACGAGGCCATGAACGTCGTGTCGTCGCTGGGATGCCATTCGACGGAGGTGATCGGCTTCGTGTGGTGCTTGAACACGGCCACCGGTTGGCCCGCCTGGAAACGGCAAAATTATTTGGGTACACATTTTACTTATATTATTTTACTACTTTTTATTTCTACAGAAACACGGGAAAACTTTAATTGCCTAAGCTCGACACAATAAGCGTTTTTCAATTTTATTTGTCCGAGACATTTTTGAAACATTTTTCCAGCATTTCGAATTTTCGGTTATTACGTGAACGTTCAAAATCAAACGTTGCAGTTAAAATTTTCGCAAATCTTTCAAAAAAATATACCCGCAGACTTGGAAGACTCCAAATCTTGAGCGCCGCATCGTCGCCGCCGGTCAGGATGAAGGGGTTCATCGGGCTCGGGTTCCACGACAGCACATTCACGTCGTCATCGTGCGCATTCTCGACGACGCAGATGCACGCATCCTTTGCCGGTATCCTAAAAAAGATAAATTGAAAGCAGGAAAAATGTACGTAACAGCCATTTTGATTTTTTTTATACGACTAAAATGTACTTTTCGATTTTGTCGAGAAAATACTGCAAAAATTTTAAATTTTCTCGAATTTGCAATAACTTTTAAATAAAATTGATTAACGATTGATTTTCGAAAAACGAACATGGATGTTCATCTGCTATTAAAGGCCTTTCCGGCAAAAATTTTGAACGCTGAGTCCTTTTTGCTAACAAATTATGTTCACCTCGTGTCCCATAACCGAACTGTTTGATCGCCGCTGCACGATATGAGGATCGACTTGTCGGCCGGGCTCCACTGCACGTCCTCGACGAAGTTCTAAAGCACAAATAATCTAGTAGACGTTGAAAAAATACCGTGTGGCCACGCAACGGCTTCGAATCGACGACCCACGAGCCGCCCTCCTGCATGTGGTAGTTGAAAATGCTGCGATCTTGGCCGCCGGACGCCAATTGGCCCTGAAAAATAGCTTTTTAACAATAATCACGAACAATACTTTGTGAAACCTAAATTACTAGTAAAAACAACAAAACTCAGAAAATAAAAAATTCTCACCAATTCCTGCGGGTTCCACGCGAGCGCGTATCCCTGGTTGTTGTGGCCGGAGAAGGAGAACAGCGGCTTCTGGTCCTTGAGCACCTTGTTGTCCGATTTGCCCGTCATTTGGCTGGCCATGTTTAGGGCTTCTAAAAAATAAAAATTAGCAAATTTTTAAACATAAAAACTTGTAAATTTTCTAAAAATACGAAATGTCGATAGAAAATATCGATTTTTTTACCTAAGCGACCCAAAATTCGCTGGCAAAATTGTAAAATTTCTTTCTAAGCTTGTTTTAATCGTCTCCTCCATTTAAATTTGTCTAAAATCCGCCAAAAACACTATTAATTAAAATACTTTCTATTTCATCTAGACTAAACCCACGATTTCCTGGCAGAAAATGCGCAATTTAAAATAGCTAATACCTGTAATATTCCACAATTGCACCTTGCCCTGCCCATTCCACACGGCGAGCACGTTGGCGTCTCCAAGGCGTGCGGTCTTCGTCCGATTGACGTCTCCGAAGTGGGGGATGGAGACGGAGTGCAGGATGGCTTGCTTATCTTCTTTTTCCTCGCCCTCATCGTCGCTGTCGTCTGATGAAGACGCGTCGTCGTCTTTCTGGAAACAAAAAATTTCAAAAAGCTGTAACAAATTTGCAACAAATTCTTTTTTCTTATAATTTTTATCCTGAAAGAATTCTATTGGTCAATCCGTACGTTTTTCAAATTCCGTATTTTAATTTCAAGGTATTTACACACTTTTAACTAAGCAGGAAGTCCTAATTTACTCACCGCATCATTCCCGATCAAGTTCTTGACGCCGAGCACGAAAATCTCGTTGAGCTTGGGCTTTTCGGCTTGCGTGCCGGAGGCGATGTACATCTACAAAAACGGATTTTGATAATTTATAAGTTCGAAAATCCACCTCCATCGGCCATTTATCGCGTGCATCGCCCAGGTTGTCGCGCACAACGTCAAACGACAGGCACGGCCAGTCTAAAAAATCGAAAAATTTAATCAAAGAAAAACGAAACGCACTTGTATTAAAAGTGTGAAACAGCTTGTAGGCTTCGGGGTCGAACTCGAGCTCCTCGCCCTCTTGTAGTGCTCGGCTGACCCCGGGGACGTAAACCTAAAAGAATAGTTATATATAGAAACAAACTTACCTTTTTCTTCGCTTCGGGCACTTCTTCCACTTCTTCTTGCCCGTCCCCATCCTCATAATTCATGTCGTAATCTTCCTTCATGTCAACGTCCGACATGGCGACGCAGAAAAAGGGCTAAATTAATCTTTCTAACGAAAAGCTAAGAAAATAGCAGCGAAAAATTGTTCTATAGAGCTAGAAAAGATAGGAAGAAACTTAGAAAAGCATTTTCAGTCCAGAACAATCGGGGCTGCCGAAAAATTTCGCTAAAAAGGGCGGCAACGAGATGGTCCTAATAACGCCGTCACGCCCTGCAGTTTGAACAGTCGAAAAGCTCGGCGAATCGCGGAAAGAGAGCGACGACAAGTAAGGCAAGACAAAATAAGGTTTTCAATTGGACAAATCAGCTTCCGGTTTTTTTGAAAACCTTATATACACTTGTTAATCGCTTATTCCTAACGCTAAAACCTTCGCTTGGACCGCAAAATAAGCCATAATCATTTTTGTGGCGGATGAACAAATCAAGGCTTTTTCAGTAGACGCAAAGCTTCCACGAGGAGGGAGGGATCCAGGTCTCCGTCGGATCGGTTTAACAGGTACGCGAAAAAGAACTATTACTATTTTTAAACGACTTGAAAAATCCTTCACGTAATCGACTTCAAAAACACAAGCCGACTCGTTGTAACCAACTTCGCGTCTAAAAACTCAAAACTTCAAAAACCAAGGCGATAGCGCGTAATTTATATTAAAGAAAAATTCAGACAGTTAAAACAGTTTATCGAAACAAGTGGATAAGCAGGAGATTAGACCCTCAACAACAGATAAGGCAGCCCGGACAACAGAGCAACATTTTTTACAACAAATGCCAAGCGAGAAAGAGCTCGGCCGGAATGGAGAACAAGAGGGCGGGCGGGTCGCGGAAGATTAGTGTTAAATTGGACGGGGCGGCGTTCGCGTCGTCTACTTGCGCCAGTCCGAGTCGGCGTCGGCAGATTTCGCGGGGCCACCGGGCGGACGTCGCAGGATTTGAGCGCCGCGAGGAGGCTAAAAAAGAGAAACGTTATTTTGTTTTTTTTGGGGTAGAGGTGCGAATTTTTGCCTGAAAGGGTAGAAATGTCCAAAAATATTACATCACTCATTTTAACAATAGTTATAGCGTGATTTAGATATATTTAAAACAGAAAAACCGATGACAAAACCTTACAAACTACAAAATTTTTTAATTGATCGAAAATCCACGATTTTTGGCGAGAAAATCGCTAAGATTTTCAAAGAAACCTCTGCTTTACGGATAGGTATCTTAAAAATCAGTTCGAAACGCTTCTATATCATAAAAAATGACCTGCTAGGCAAAAAAAACATTGGCATTCCTCCCAGATAACTCAAAAAAGCCGAGCTCAAACATACCTCATGAGAGGAGGACGAAGGCGCCGGCGGGGTAGGAGTCGAGCGCGGGGGTCCACGGCTCGTCTTGACGGTGGTGAAGCCCTCGGCATCCACCTCCTCTTCTTGGCGACGAACTGGAGCTGGTTGAGCAGCAGCCATGGCCTGCCTAAAAACAAGAAAGCTGATCGCAATAGGAAATTCGTACCTGCGCTGTGGTGGAACGTAGGCGCTCTTCTTCGGGGCGGCCGGCGGCGCGACAGCAACAGGGGCGGAAGGCGCCGGATCTGGAGGCGGGGCGGAAGTGGGAGGCGGCTGGCGCTTCTAAAGCAAAAATTCAAAGATTTTGGCCAAGCCTCACCACAACATTGCCACGTGCCCATTTGTCTTCGGTGTCGGCCACCGAGGCGGCGACATGGTGATGAACAGGCTCGCGGCGATGCGAATCCTAGATTTGGATTTGAAAAGGAGAAACTCGGAAGCATACAAGTGCATGACGAGGCGGCTCCGGATGGCGGGCAGCCTGCGGGCGGGCCCCGGCGCGCCAAGCGTTGTCCGCGTCGGCAGGGGCAGTCGGTTGCTAAAATGAGCAAAATTTGGAGGCATTTTTGCGGCAATTTATGACTGAAGATGACCAAACTTGGGGAAAAGAAAATAGGAAGAGGAGGGTAAGAAAAATAAAGAAATTTTTTACCTGACGAGGCTCACGCGGCGCCATCGACGGGCGTTGACGGTCGCGGTCTCCTCCGAAGTCACGCTCCCGCTCGCGTTCCACTCGACGCACAATCGATTCGCCGCCACCGGCGCGCCAGTTGTCGTCAGCCATCGCACGCGAGGGCTCATCGTCACGCTCGCGGCGGTGGTGATGATCCTAAACGGAAAACTATGAAAAGCCGTGAGAGCAATTGTTACCGGGCGATCTCCACGGGCAGCCCGGCGCTGTTCCTCTTGCAGCTGCTCCCGCTGCATCTCTTCCTCCTTCTTCCGGCGAGCCTCGGCCTCGATCCGGTCCTAAACAAAAGTTTGGAGAAACGAGTGAGACTTTTACCTGTTGCCATTGCCGCCGGCGCTCCTCGCGGCGTGCCAGCGCCCTCGCGGCCAACCGGTCTTCGCGCACGGCCTTCAGCTTCTCCTTGAAGTCGTTCATCTAAAAAATGGTGGAAACTGAGATAACAGAAAAGGAGATATACCTTGGCCTCAAAGTGCCCGGCCCTGTCGGCCTTCACCTTGGCCATCCAGGCGTTCGCCTCATCGGCAACCGTCTGCAGCTTGCCCCAAACGTTGACGGCGAATTCGCGGGCGGCCCTAGAAAAGTGGCCTCAAGAAGCTGAACAAGTTTCCTACACAATTTTGGCGATGCGGCGTTCCTCGTAGGCGTTGAACAGCTTGGGCACGGTCTCCTGGCGCCGGCAATCGCGGGCACGACGCTGGATGGCCTCTTCAATGTGATCGGCACGGACCTAGAACACAAAAAAATATTTTCCATTCAAACAGAGTTTTACCGTGTGGTCGAATTTGCGGTCCTGCTGCTCGAGGCGCTTCTGCGTGGCCTGGCGCTTGTTGTCCATGTCGATGCGCTAAAAATATACTTTTGAAAAATCGGAGAAAGAAAGCAGAATTGATGCTCAAATCCATACCTGTTCACGCATGATCTCCTCCGGGTCCATATTGGCCAGCTCATCCTCGGTGTACTTCGACAGGACGTCCTTGTACAGCGAGCTCTGCAGCAGCTTGCGCATCTTCTCCATCCGTATCTTCTTCTCGACCTCGTCTTTCTCGGCCTAAAAATGGGGATTTTCGGTCAAAGCGATGAAATTACCTCCTTGCGCCGCAGCTCTTGATCCTTGCGCGCCTTCTCCAGGCGAATCTTGTCCTCCTGGCGTTGACGTTCGGCGCGTTGCTGGCGCTCACGGTCGGCCTGGGCCTTCAGTTCTTGCACTTGGCGCTCGCCGGCCTCCTTGTTGCGCTCGATCTTGACACTAAAAACGAAGATTAGAGAAATAATAAAAGAAAAAAACGCTGATTTCGCCCGTAACGCAAGAACGCAATTTCGTAAGCAAATTTATGCTGCTAAGCCTGATTTTGATCTAGAAGCGGCGACCGTACAAGAGACCTTGGGAATACAGCAAGTTTCTTGCCCTTCCTTTGACAGGAAGAATCGGAAAATTGCTTTCGACGAGATCGCTAAAAATCAAAACGCAATTTCCTCACCGGCGCTGGTGGAAGCGGTCCGAGTCGGCGTCCTTGTGGTGTTTGTAGATGCCGACGAGCCGCTTGATCCTCTCGACAGCCTCCTCGCGCTTCTTCTCGCCGGTGAACATCCGGTCAAAGTCTTGCAGCTTCGTGTACAGCACCTCGAGATGGGTGCGCAAGTTGTGGCCGGAGCGCTAAATCAGAAATTCATAACAAAACAGGAGAACACCTACATGATCGCTTTCATCAAATCCGCCAGCGAGCGTGTCCCCGACCGGCTCGTCAAAGTTCAGCTGGCCGTTGCGATGATCGATGGCGAACTAAGAAAAGGTACAATTTCGTCGTGAAAGGCTCACCTTAACCAGCCGCATCTTGCTCACTTCGGCCAGGAAGAACTCGAGCTCGAGCTCTCCGAAAGAAGGAAGAAGCCGGCGCAACTTGGCCCAGGACATGACTTGGTAGAGGCGAGAACCCTAAAAAATAATAGATGGCAGGCGGCGATTCACTAACCAGATTCAAGACCTTGACAGCGATGGAATATTGCAGGGCCTCCGTGTACGGCGCGGATTCGGGCTGGCCCTGGAGGACGGTCAAAACGTCGGCAGCTTTCTTGGACAGCTGATTCGGCGAGTAGCTCATCTCCATCAGGTCGTACAGCTTGACCACGGTCTCGTCGGCCGATTCGATGATGCCCTGGCGTGCGGCTTCGCGAAGGAGGCTTGCGCGAGACGGGATCATGGCGAGGTCGAGCAGATTTGAGAGGACTCTAGAAAAGAGTAGTTTTTCGGGAGCGCATTTGTATCACAAAAAAGTTCTCTAGCGGTCTGGAATGGTTTCTACACTATTCAAAAGCTCTTGAAAATTCGAGAAAACAAGCGGATTTCGTTTTCTTCCATTATTTAGCTTATTTGAAACTCAAAACGCGCTTTTTCGGGACGATAAACTTGTGCGTCAGGATTTTCACGATTTTTCATCATAAAAAACCCTTCTGAGAACCAAAAGCGATTTTTTTTCTTGCATTTCCCATAGACGGATGCACCTTTTTGCCGAGCCCAGGATTACCTCATATTGACGCCGTGGTACATCTCGAGGTCGAGCGCCCGCTTGAAGAGCGACGGGTGGTCGGCGCCCTCCGGGATCGAGAGGATGGCGAGCAGAACGGCCGTGGCGAGCTCGCGGGCCTCCTCTGGTGTCCAGTTCTTGCGCAGATCCTTGCAGATGGTGAACTTTTGGAGCAGCGCGGCGGCGTGGAACAGGTAGTTGCCAGCTTTCCAGAAGACCACGGCAAGCTAAAAATAGTTTTGAAAACCCCAGATTCTTTGCACCTTTGTGTAGTAGGTGGAGCAGATGGCCGGGCGGACCATACGACGATCCTTGTCCTTGGAGAGCTGCATGATGCCGTGCACGTCTTCGGCCGATCTAAAAAAGGGATAAGAGCAATCAAGATAAAAACAATACCTGAAGGCCTCTTGATAGAGCTCCATTTGGATGGCCGTGTTCAGCTGCTTGAGCCGTGTTTCCTGGAGCAGCGTCAGCGACTCGGGCGAATTCAATTTCACACTAAAAGGAATTTCCAAAAAACGATGTGAAAATACCCGTGAGCCAAGTGTTGTTGGCGCTGGATCTGCATCAGATGTCCACGCAGCAGGTCCGTCAGCTTGCGGAATTCGGCGCGGCGCTGGTACTTGAGGCAGAAGTCGAGCGAGGCCTGGGCGATCTTGTTGTAGAGGCCCTCGACCTGGTGGTTGTTCCGCAGCAGCTCGAGCGAGTTCCGGTAGCTGTCCCACATGAAGCGCAGCCACGGGGCCAGCACCGTGCGGTCCATGCGATCTTGGGCCAGGTGACCGGAGACGACGGACAGGAGCAGGCTAAAAAAAACACATTTTAAGAGAAATTTTGGTGCTGGATCGTTATCGGGGAGGGACCAAAAACAAATTTTCTTTTGCATGCACAGTAATGAACGCGTACCCGTTTGCGATTTTAAAAAGGTATGGAAGCGCCTTTTTGCGTGGTTTCCCGGTCCAAATAGCCGAAAGTATCCAAAAAGCAATCAAAAACACCTAAAACTGACAAAAATCTGAATTTTCCGAGCGGTTTTTCTCATAGGATAACAAGTTTTAATCGCCCTGATAATGATCCAATACCAAAATTTTCCTGAAACTCACTGCTCCGGATTGTCGCCAGAATCGAGATCGTCAATCTCTTCGACCTTGTCAATCGACGACTTCTGGGCCTCCTCGGCGCGCTTTCGAGCGAGATCGAGCACGTGGGTGAGCACTTTCTCCAGCGAGGTGACCGCGACCTAAATAACTTATTGACGGCCCAAATCCAACGACTTACAGTTTGCGACAGGGCCTTGTATTGAAAGAGGGCATCTTTGCAGACTTGGGGCTTGCGTAGCGTCACGCAGAGGCCCACGTGCATCATCATGATGTCTTCGTGCGTTTGGGACCATTGCTGCTTGTGGCGGCGGGCCTAAAAAGTTGATTATACAAAAAACTAATAAGAAAAATTGTACCTTTATCGTGTCATGAAGGACATCGAGCGCATCCTGCTCCTTCCCAACGGCTATGAGCTCTTCGGCGCGCTTGAGGGCGGCCTCGGGGCGTTGGAAGTGGCTTCGCGACATCGTTGTAGCAAACCCAGTAAGACTTGGGTTTCCGAGTGAGGGGATTCCTGAAAAAAGTTGTATGAGAAAGGTAGTCAAACGAAAGCGAAAGAAAACAAAATAAAAAAGGGCAAAGAAGATACATAAAATCGGTCGGAAAATCAAGAGATTGGCTAGAAAACGGGGCCGGGTAAACGCGCTGGCTTCTCTTGCATACTAATTTCCGAGACGCCATACAGGCATAATCAATACGGCTTTTCATTCTAGGGCACATTTTCTCACGCGATGGACAGTTGGCTAGTCACCACTAAAAGGGATTGTCCAGAAAACAAAACGCTTCAAAAAAAGCGAAAAAGGCGCCTTCTTGTAAAGGAAAAACAGCTAGAAAGAGCATGACGCAATCGAGAATTTCAGACCTTCAAAAGAGCGGCAAAGCTTCTAAATAAATATCTTGCTTTAAAAACAATAAAACTAACAGAAAAGGCGACAAAAAAGCAAAATCCAGAAAGCCCAAAAATGCGAAAATTGCAAGGGGGCAATGACGCAATCCGGGCTGACAAGGCATACCGTAGGCGCCACTCTTATAATGCACCTAGCCGTGCATTCTGGGCAACCACGCAGAATTTATAGGGTGCCCCAAACGTTCTTAGTATTCTGGCGGAAGAAAATTTCGACAATTTTGGCTTTTTGAGGGTTTTGGGTGGTTTTTCGCGCGATTTGGTGGTCAAAATTGAAGATTTTTTCGGTTTTTCGAGCCATTTTGGACTGTAATCTAGGCGTAAGAGCTATCAGGGCGTTTATAACTAAAAAAACTTTTCTAAAACTAAAAAAAAAAGAGAAAATAAAGATAATGCAAAAAATTCGATTAAAAAGGAATGTAGATACATCAAAGGCAAATAATTCGCTCGTCAAAGACAACAGAAAAAAAAGAGTTTCGGAATCTAAAAGGCTAAAGATAACTTGCATTAGACTATTCGGGGTTTTGCACGAAGTAAATAGCTTTGTTGTAAATCTAGCAAAATTGAAAAAATAAGGAATTCCGCAAGGAAAAACTTTCAGACTCGACGATGTCGGTGTCGGGGATAGATTTCGGCAATCTATCCACGTACATCGGCATGGTGCGGGGCACCGGCATCGAGATCATCAGCAATGAACAGTCGCGGCGCAGCACCACGTAAGTTTTACCGAGTTTTTCTCCAATTTTGCCATTTCAGAAGCGCAGTTGCTTACGGGCCGCAGACGCGGCTGATGGGGGCCGCCGCCCACGAGCAGGTCAGCACGAATTTGAGGGTAGGTTATCAGTTTTTGTCGTGAAAATGCCTTTTAGAACACCGTCCTCAACTTCAAGGAGTTGGTTGGGAGGGATTTCTCGGATCCGGTGGTGCAGCGGATGATGCCTTATGTATCTGCACGTGTTGTGAAGTTGCCCGAGGAAGGCGTCGGTGTTTTGATAGGTTTTTAATAGTTTTTAATTGCTAGGAAATTTTAAAAAACGTTTTTGAAGCGTTAAAAAACTTTTTTTGGTCGTCTAAGTTTACAAAAAGCTCTGTAAAATGCTGTAAAAACTGGGCGCTATTGCGGTTTGCTGGCCCCACTTATATCGGGCCAAAACCGAATGTTTCCGGGCTAGTTTTTTGCGCTGATTACGAAAAACACTACCACAGTCCGTAAAAATGTGCGTTAGTAAAATTTAACGATACATATATACGTTTTTATGTCAATTTATTCCGGTTCACGGCATTCGCCCAAAAGGAAGTTTGTGTGATAAAGTCGATAAATAATGCCCAGAAACTAATTTCCCGCGCAGAAGTAGGTTTGTACCGTTGTCAGGCAAGGCGGGCCGTCGCTTCGGATGGGCTGCCGCTCCACTCTTTCGAAATCGGGGCGCCTGGCCGCTGCGCGCGCCTCGGGCGCCCCGATTTCGAAACCCTGTACGAGCTCGCACCCATCCGAAGCGACTAGGCCCCGGGGTGGCACGAAGCCTTATTTTTAGGTAAAAACGGGTGCAATGAACTAATCTTCTTGGAAATAGTTGTTCCACCAGTCTACAGGGTCTCAATTCAAAAACCTAGTTTACCCCGTGCAAACGCAAACCTAAAATGAAATGTAGTTTTTTCCTGTAAAACAAAACTTTCGCGATTCGGGATGATGTTTTTCGTAATCAGCGCAAAAAACTAGCCCGGATACATTCGGTTTTGGCCCGATATAAGTGGGGCCAGCAAACCGCAATAGCGCCAAAAACTGTAAACATGTTTAAATTGCGCCTCGGCTCCGTACGGGTTTACTGGCGGAAAATTCTACTTTCTAGTTTTTCTTTCCTTTTTAGGTCCGGCACCACGACCGCGAGCGAACGTTCACCATCGAGCAAGTGCTGGCCGCCATCTTCACCAAGGTCAGGGCGACAATCCTCAAGCATTTGCCGGTAGAGCCGGCCCATGTCGACTGTGTCGTTGCGGTAAGTACTTTTTATTGTTAAATCAAAGTTAAACAACGATTATTTTGGTTTTTTAATCTTTAGAATTGACAATTTCAGGTACCCGGTTACTACAATCAAACGCAAAGGCTAGCGGCTGACTGCAGCGCGCAGGCGGCCCGACTCAATCCGATCGGTCTCATCAACGAGACAACGGCAATCGCATTATCGTACGGTATGTTAAAAAACAGTATAGCCCACAGTATTCTACAATTTTGAAACATCATTTTCACAAAATTTGTTAAGAAATAAAAAAATTGATGTTTCGAGACAAAATCAACAAATGCTTACCAAATTTTAGTTATTTTTTTGCTGTTTTTTGAGATACTGAGCTTTTTTTAGGAATTTCCCGAAATCGTGAGCTGCCCGCCTCCTCGGAGGCTCCCCGAATCGTCGCGTTTGTCGACGTCGGCCACACCAGCGCCCAAGCGACGATCGCCCAATTTTCGAGGGGAAAATTAAAAGTAGGTCTTCACGAATTTTGGAACGTTATCAGGGTGCCGATTTATCAATATGTCGAATTAAACATTTAGAATCCTCAGGATGTCGATAAGTCCTTTAATGGTGTGGAAATACCTAAGCATTCAGGCATATTTCGTCCCGGGATTAGAATTTTTCCTAGTGATTTGGTTATGGCATACCTTGAAACACTCGAATTTTGGGATTTTCCTGTCCTGTATCAGGTGGGATGGTGCCTGCGGCACCATTCCCTGCCACGCCCACTAACTGCCCGTACCCTTAGGGGACCCCCAAGTCTTTAGTCTTCCCCTCCCGCAACCTTCCATCCGGTTGCCTGGATTTACGCAAGGACCCGGCGGCTCCTTCGGGACGCCGGGATCCGTAGCGAATTCTTATGTGGAGGACTCATTTTTTACATCTTGGGGTTTACCTATTTGTGCCGGCCAGTTATTCCTTTCCTGGTAGTCTCTCAATCTTTTAAATTGCCTTTGCCTCAATAAAAGAAAACTAGATACAGTCAGTTTTCTAAATGCATTCAATAAGGGAGCCTTCTCCTCGCTTCCCGCCGAGTAGATTAACCGAGGCCACACATGTTCATGCTAGTGATTGTATAATTCAGAGAGCGCGGCCTTCGGCACAATGGGTAGATAAGTGGGTTATTAGGAGCCCCAACTTATAAGGCAGATAATAGGTATATTCAAAGGGGATATCATATTCTAGCTCCGGTCCCTCATAGAGAAACCGACTAGATTATGACATTCCGCATTTCGTCATTAAGAAATATAGAGATCTGGTTTTCGGCATTCTTGTGACTCCGACATTTCGAAATTGCGTGATTGTTGGTATTTCGATGATCTTGAGATTTCGACACGTTCAAAATGCTAAATTTTGGTTGCTACGTCATCAATGACGTCATTTGGGTTTTGGGATGCTTCAAATTTTGGAATTTTAAAATTTGGAATTGTTTAAATTTCGGTATTATGAAATGTCGATATTCTGTTTTTCGGGATTCTTGTAATTTTGATATTTCGTAATTTCAGGATTATTGACATTTCGAATTTTTGATGTCTAAATACTGGTTTTCGACATTAGGATTTTCGGCATTTCGAAAGTAACCCTGAAATTCGACTTTTTCGGAATTTGAACGTTTTGTCGACATCATAGACATTTAGAATTCGAAAATTCTAAAAAATTCGAACTTCTTGATCTCGCTTTCAGATCCTGGCCTACACGTACGACCTTGAAGTGGGTGGTCTTTGGCTTGACGCGCGGATACGACACCACCTGGTCGAGCAGTTCAACGCCAAGTATCTCGACGTCTACACCGAGTACAGGCTGCTAGAGGAATGCGAAAGGATTAAGAAGCTAATGTCGGCCACCTCAAAGCCGATCCCACTGAAATTGGAAGGGCTGCTGGACGGTGCTGATTCTTCAGTGACGATTTCTCGCCAAGAATTCGAAAATCTGGCAGCCGCGATTTTCGAAAAATTTGCCGAAATGTTGCGGCGGCTTTTGAAAGAAGCGGACGTCGACATTGCTGATATTTACGGCGTCGAGTTGCTTGGAGGTACGGCATGTAGAACCGAGTTTTAGGAACGGAATTGTGGATTTTAGAGGGTTTTTTTGTAATTTTAAAAAGTCCGTAATTTTTGGAATTATGGTGTTAATTACAGATGCTTAAATACATCTTAAGATTATATACTAGTTAGATATTAAATCAGTGTATTAAATATTGATGAGACTGACCAAAAAGCCTACTTTTCCGATTTTTTTTTGCTTTTTTAATGATGTTTCAAAACCTAAACAAGTGAAAACGGGCGCTTCCTTTTTAGTGAGGTTCATCTTTCTTTCTTGTTTAGCTTATTCCTGGCTAGTGTTAAAATATAATTGTTTTTATCGTCTTTCTAAAAGTTTCCGCTTCTTAACAAGCGACAAAAAATGAAAAAAGCCCCAAAATTCGATTTTTCCCAATTTTTCGTAATTTTTTCGAATACAAAATGTTTCATTTTCTAAAGGCGTTTCGGTGAGGATCAGTTTAAGATACTATTCAGATAGACGATAAGTATTAAACAAATAAATTTAGTCGAAT